TGATAAATGTATTCCTAACTAATTACAGGGGTTTAAGATTTAGAACACTTTACTGTAAAAGCTGAATATGCTCAAAAACAACACTTACACGGAAGTAAGTTAGCATCGAAACCAGTTAGGATGTATAGAAGCAATTAATTACACGAATTTACGAATGGTTACTAGGTTTGTTTTTGAAACATAATATACAATATTGGTTCAGTTCAGTATAAAATATAATATATTGTCTGATATTTAATATTACACAAATTCTATCGTTCAAGTTGATAGTGTGGTAATTAGGTTAAGTTATCCGACCCCACGATTTACTATTTGTAATGTTTGATGAGTAGGTGAAATTATAAGGGAGCTCTTGAAATGTGTAATATACTGTCTCCGAGAAAATTAAAGAGCTATCAAAACGACATACCAAAAAGCTTCATACAAATAGTGTCTGACTTTTGTAAGTACTGACAAAATGCTGATACTGGTCAATAAAGAACGACTAATATTAATACTGGGTTACAAAACGGGTGTAGTCGATTATGTACTTACGACAGTAAAATCAGTCAACATTGAGTGTCACATTTCTGTAAAGACAAGGTTTGGGGCAAATAATCCCAAGTTTTGTGAATCATCTTATGATTGGTAATTTGGTGCAAAATGAACAAAAACAGAGGACATCGTTGAATGAACATTAATACTTAAAAGAGGACCATTAGATAAGATATAGTAAAGGAACCCCAATAATTTTAATGATCATTATGTGAATAAATTCAGTTACTTTTGTCAATAATTTTCAGACTTTCTATTTTTCTCTGGAAATAACGCATTTGACTCATCGTATGTTTATAAACCATGTGCTGTGTCACACCAGTGTTCCATGATTTACTTAACATGTAAAAGTTTATTGATGAGAATACGCTGATATGCAACGTAAAAACTGTTACACATGTAGTGACTCACTTTTATCACGAGAACACGATTGGTTTATTGAAAACAATTATTATTATAACCAATTTTACCAGTGACTGTCTAATGTACTCTTTGTTTAACTGTGCTAAAAACATCCATTATTCTTACACTTTGATTGTGAACTCGCGCGAATTCCGTTACGCTCTGTAACCAAGCTTGTACCCTAGCACGATCTCGGTATTCTTTTGATACCACGAGATCGCCAGCAAATATATCTCGACTTGGTCCATTAACTGCCTTCTGACATTTGGATTCCCGGGGATTTAATGGATTTATTTGGCACGTGTTTCTCTGTAGCGGTGTTCATAGTCTACCGCGACTCGACCCCACGCTACACACATTTACATTTGTTCTGAATTAATGGCAAATTATTTTATTGTAATTAGCTGTTTCCAATTAAATTCACAGTTTTAATTTCACTGTTTACTTTGGTTTCATATGGTATAAAACTAATTAAAAAACATTAGATTTTAAATTTTGAACACCGTAATAACTGGATAGATTTTCAGTATGCAATACTAACAGTCGGGAGACTAGTATAGATAGCTGACCAGAGAAATTATGTATCACGTAATCGTTAAAAATGAATTATGAACAGTTCCTTCACTAATTAATTTGCTGCTGTAAACAGCCTGAAAATGAACTTCAAAATCATCAAGTAGGTTGTAGATGCCGACAGTAAGAAGCTTTTAAAAATAGCTTACGATTACTTTGGGAATTTCGCGTCTCATTGGAGTACTTTGAGTCAATCGTAAGACTGATTATAAAAACCGATATGATTTAGATTTGACTGCCCTAGATTTCTTGACATACATTTTATTTGTGAGAAGGGAAAGGAGAATAATGAATATTTCACGTCTAGTATTCTACCAGGTTACTTCACATTTAATCTGTTGCAACAGTCTAGAAAAGTATCTTTCAATTCATTGTTGTTTTATCAAAGTTTGAAGAAGTTTCGGTTGATATCATTTATAGAACTTTATTTTATGGTTATTGAGTTTTGATGGAGGATACTTTATTCATTCACTTCTGAGAAATCAAGTCTTAAGAAATATACGTGAAAATATTGTGGGGGTATAATAATTGTAGAAATAAAGGTTGATAAATTATACGCAGGCCTTGGCTTTCTGATTCCTGTAAAAGATCTAGAATCGTCGTGTGACGTTTGCATAAAATGATCCCTGGTTTGGACCTTATTCATACTCTTAACGTTAATTGGAGCGCAAAACATTCGCATTTGTGCACGTTATTTTTTATATGATCATGCGATGCTTCGTTTTTAACTACTGGAGTAAGTTTTACGGAAATATGGGAGCTGTTATTTCGTATATCATGTGGTGATGTGATGCGTGCTACTGATGTTGATAGATATAAGTAGTATGTAGCATCAAAGTGGAGTACCTGGGAAGAGGTTAGGTGGATGGAAGAAAAGAGGACGAGAACAGTGAGTGATTGCTGTGGAAATGAAGGAGCAGTGAAGTCTGAGACGATTGTGTGACATTTTGCAAATTAAGTATTTACTGTGTGGATCTCCGATTTTACTAAGATGTTCTGTAATTTTTGTGTTCAAGTACATTCGATTGTTCCCACTTTTGTTCTTGTTCACTATAGTGGTAAATTATCCTTTAAAATAAATAGTTTTGTTACTCATCTACATTGATTCTGACCTCATTATATTTACTGGATGCACACTAGTTAGATGTACTTGGACAAGCGTAAACATCAGATCACGTTTGTGTACGCCATGTTACACAACCATTACATCTACTAGTTAGCTTAAACCATATACTTTGGACACATAGACAGTATTCCAGACCTATCTTCGAACCAGTTCATTCATGACATCTGGTTTGAATGTCTTTGGAAACCTCGATTATGAAGGTGTTGCGAACAAAAGCGTTATCAAGCAGTTATTATGCCTGACGTCTTTAATCATATACAATATTGATATTGTTACTTATCATAGGTCGATTCTTTTAAGCTGTATTTCTTAGTCAAGAAGCTCTGGAACCTACTGTATAGATACATCTTGATTATGAACGTTTGAGAATTGGGGATGAAATGGAAGTAATATTGATGCATCTGGAAAGGTTAAAGAGGTAATGTGGTTCTTAGCAAACCATCTTGTGAACAACCTTGGAACCACTGACTCTTTATTATATCAAATATTGTTTTTGTCTCAACCAATATCAAAGTCAGAATCTTTAATACGAATATCAAGACAGTTTTACTGTACAGAGCTGAAACTTCGAGAACTATTACAACTATCGTCAAACATGCACAAGTATATATAAATAGATATTTACGCGAGATACTCAACATCCATTGTCCGAATGTTATAAGCAACAGTCCTCTGTTGGAGAGGAAAAACCAGCTTCCAGCCGAAGGAGAAATAAGAAAAGACTATGGAAATGGACAGAACGTGCATTACGGACATCAGCAAACTGCATCACGAGTCAAGCGCTAACTTTGAATCCTGAAGGGAAAGGGAAAAGAAGGCCAAAGAACACATTATACCGGGAAATAGAATAAGATATGAGAAGGATGGATAGGAACTAGAAAGAACTGGAAAGGATTGCTTAGGACAAGATTGGCTGGTGAGTACTGGTGGGTGGCTCCTCTACGAAGTGTAACAAGCCTAAGTAAGTAAAGATATTTTAGTTACTATACATCCAATTTAAATAAGCCTATCAGTATATTGGCCTTTCAAACCTTGACAAAACTCTCGTGGCTAGCAAAACATATGTCCCTTTGTGTACACTAACTTCAGAAGTTTAAAGGGTGGAATGTTAAAAACTATTTTCACGGAAGAAGCCTAACAACTAGTTGATTGCAGCATTTTGAAGTACAATCTACTCTATGATGAACATAGTTTCTACTCCATAAAAGTAACAAACCTCCAAAGTTTCCTGCCATTCCTAAAAGTTCAATCAACTTTATAGATTCAATAGAATATACAAATGTTTCAAATGGTTGCGGATGGAATAGAAGAAACGTTCGCTTAACGAGCTACCGTGTCTAGTAGCATTTTAGCTTACATCAATCGGTGATGAAAACCATAGAACTAATTCCTAACCCTTAACGATCAACATTAAATCCTAATTCTGTTTCCTCACTATGGTTTATAACCCTCATTTGGTCCTAGTTAGTATGTGGACATTCTCAAGATCAAGCTAGCGTCGCTGAACGTTCGTTCATAAATTATGGTCTCACTACCGATTTTCGTCAAGGCCAAAGACACCCGATGCGTATCAGTTTGATGCACGTTATAGACTGGTCCATATAGCAGTTGTTACGCTCTATTCCTTGTAACTACTCTTATTAACATATTTCTCTAATAACGTCGTTTGTGTTGTACGGTTCTGTTGACTAGCCGCGTAAAGACAACGTGAATATTAAAGGTCAAATACAAATTGTAGTTGAGATAAATATTTCCGTCCATGGAAATATTAAATAACAAAAGCACCGGGAGATGCATCAAGTGTGCAGAGTATTTGTGTTTGGTAATTCACCAACTCAGTCAATATCAAAATATCTCTGCTTATACAAACTATATAAAAGAACATGCTAGTAGATAAATACATGCGTACTATCATGCACAAATGTAAAAATTGTTCACGGTTACAAGGAAGTAATAGAAAAGTCAAAAATGCATAATAACCATCCCAATCGAATCAATTCGTCTGCTCAGAAATGAGAATGACATAAAGCGGGCGTTCCAGACACTACACCACCTCTGAATCAAATAATAGCTTTGAAAGATCATATTATAACAGTTGCTATTTAGATGTTATACATTCTGCGACTCGTAGATAGTTTGTTTAGTTAGTTTTGCAGTTATCTAAGAATATACCCATTTGATGCTGGAAGTGAAAGCTGAGCCATGAATAATTGATCTGAAGACGGTTGATGTTGCAATCATCCTGTCGCTTTGTCTATTAGACGATTTCATTTGTGATGTCGTCTTCGAAAGTTTTTAAAAAAGACGAACCAGAGGATATTGGTGGTCGTTTACATGGAGTGGTTTGTTTTAAACGTTAATAGATGTTTCACCGGGATATATATAGCTCTCATGAGTATTCGCGCAGTCTTAACGTAATTATTTTTTAATGTCATCTTACTACGATAACGACTTGGTTGGCTATTACAACGAAAGTGGTGTTTTTAAACCATGGATGAATTCAGATTACCGTTATTCGTATAGGGATTCAAGACAAATTGATGTAAGTTTATAATATAAATTAGATGCAATTTATTACAAAAGTTTTACCTCATGGGACTAATTTTCGTACTTAGCAATTTGAAGTTCTTACTATGCTACCGTCAAGTAGAGTTATTCAATTCTTTTACATGATTAAAGGTAAAAATGTTGATCATCTTAGTAATCATAACTTTAATGATTAGAAATTTTTTCTAAAGAAAAGTTAAGGGCAAAGTTCCAGATATATGGGTATAGAATATCTTCGTCTCAAACGATTTTAACTTTGCGAATAGGGTTTTCTGACAACCGTTTCTGGTCGGAATTTTGTCTCCAGCTGGAGAAAGCTATTTGGGAAGAACTAAGTAAGTTAGCCACTAAGCATAACCGAGAAAAATATACGTTTGTATATACTTTCACATTTTATTGCCAATATGAGCCAAACGTACCGGAATGAATGGTAGATGGAAGGGATAAACGTAGTATCAATGACAATGGGTAATTCGAAATACTTGAGAATATAATTCGACAAGAAAGGGTAGAAAGGAATGTAACAAAAAATACTTGAAATGAAGACTGGAGGCCGTGTAAGTATTGAGTCCATCTTTCCCCTATCACCTAACATTTCCAACCAACAAGTTGTCTATTTCCATTACTGTCACGGACTAACATTCGTTGACTCCATGGGCTGAAACAACGTTTTAGTTTAGCCAGTCTTATCTTATTTTCAACCTACTTTTACACCAAGAGATATTTCCCGTCGATGTGAAATGTGTTCACATGTACCTAAAACGCATTCTAAGTACACATGTCTATGAAGATTTACTGCATTATTATCTGACTGAACATCTGCCTAGCTCTCTATTTCTAACGTCAGTTTTGTCCACTTGATCGTTCAACGTTGTACGCTCAATGTTTTGAAGACACCTTTGTCTAAAAGGTTGTGGCTTAAAAATGTCTTCCACTTTCATAAACCAGATTTCAGAGTTTTAAAATAATAGAGAATTAACTACTGACCATCATACTCGCTCGTTTTCTGACAGACGATCATCTCGCCTACGCTACAAGTGATACAGTTTGCGTGGCGCTTATCACCTGGTGTGCCCCGCATCGAGAACAAAAAAACCCTACAGAATGCTGAGTATTGTAACTCATACATATTTTTAACATGTTCTAATATGTCTACTTTTTGTAAAGCCAAAACTAATCGTTCATGACGATACACCATCTAGCAAACTAATTACTAGTCATATATTATTACATCTTACGTCTTTGTGAACAGTTATTACATCTCCTTTAGTAGACGTGTGAAAATTATGTTGCTAATTTTGTAGCACGTGCTGAGCTTTTAACGCATAACCAAAATAAGTAAACTGGCTGACAATCACCATGGTATTATCTGCGTGGTGCATCATACTTCGAGTGAAATAGGTTGAGTCTTCTCGAAAAAGGCAAATAGTTATTTGTCACTAATATTTTATGGAAAGCATGTTGCCTGTAACTTCCTTAGTTCGTGAGCCTTTAAACATTAGTGAAATTTTGATTTGGTGAAATACAAGTCCTTTTTTAAACTTACTGATTGGTCCAATCACTACTGTGTGATTAATATTTTTAACAGACCGTTCGTAAGTAAAAATCTTTTGGAGCTTCAGTGTAAATCAAAAGTATAGAAGTGTGTACACAACGAGTTACGTAGCATTTACTCAAAAAATTACTGAAGGGTTTAAATATTATTTAGTTCATAGTCTTTAAAAAAACTGAACTATCTGAAAACGTCGTAAATTGCTGTCAAGCTGATACTCTCATCTACTGACATGTCGTAATAATCACGCACCAGACAAAGTTTTAAAAACATTGGTATCACTAAGAAAATCATGAACATGAGTTTCAGAATTGTTTTTCATTTGTTCTTTTTTTGGTACTACAGAGATATATCGTGATTATGCATTATAGATTACTTATAACGTACCACTTAAAACGGAGGTGACTATCAGTCATTAGATGAGGTGATAACGCCAAGTTTAGTAACTTTTTCATGCTTATTTTAACTTATGAATATTAAGTCCATTGAGCTTTGTAGGCACTAGTGACTAAAGTATTACTAGGCGTTGAGTAGGATTGTATTAGGTGGAATTTAACAACTAGATTGAAGTAAGCACAGTTGGTGTTAAGTGATATTATATCCAACTGGAAATCTGAGCACTGTGTCTTTGACTTCATTACTTAAAGTTCTACGGTGCTAAGTGCCCAAAAGTCGGATAAATTAATTGACTTAATTAGAAACAACGGAATAGCAATGGAATTTCTCCGCAATTAACTTTTATTTGGATATATTTAAATAGACCTCACCTGCAATTACCCTTCTCTATATACAGTAATATTGGATCCTCGATGAACCTTAAGATAGTCATTGAATACAGTATCTGAGCGTTAACAGTAGTTGGTGGTATTGCTCTGATATTCGGCCCAGAATCTACTTAAAAAGGGGAACTAATATATTTGTCGATAATATACAGTAGACGAGTTTTTTTAATCACGTTTGAAATGAAGCTTATCATTGTTTCTGTCTTCCTTGGAAAATTTTTTTATTTAAATTTATGTGGTAGCGTTTAGTTTAATCATCAAAAATTAGATTAAACATACATAGTTTTAAAGCTTTCATAATAGGAAACCTATACTGAACAGGTATCTGCAGCTACATTTGTGTGCTACATCCCATAATATGAATACAACATCTGCCCATAATTTATTCTAACTTGTTAATTTTTTAGTCTGATATAAATATAATTTATATAGCATAGACAGAAGTCTCGTTTGCAATACTACCTAGTTTAATACCTGAAAGCAGTAGTAATAATAATTACTAGAAACGTTCACTATCTACCGTACAAAAATTAGATAACATCACATATTCTGGTCAAAATTAGACATAGTTATCATAGGATGCAAAAACCCGGCTCAGATCGTGTAGGGTTGCAAAGATATGAAGATCGTTATTATTTTTCTATCCAAATAGAGGTATTATTCAAGAACAGGGTAACGTTTGCGTTTTATAGGCTAGCATCACATTGATATTTAGTTTCTAACATAAATACTAATTATGACTGTTATTAACAGTACGTAGGTAAGTTCAAAAAATACGGGAGGTCCTATAAGTCTATTGTACTTTTATAATCTTTGTGCATTAATTTACCTATAGAATAGCTTGGATACAGCTCTGCCTCATTATATATTTTACTGTTGTCGCTTTAGGACTATTTATTTGCTTTTTTGATATGAGAAAGATGAAAACTAGTTCTCGAATCAATAAAAGATCCTGATTTTATCAAAGTTTTCTTTCCAAAACCACGTTGAAGAAGTAATATTTAAGTCTATGTTTAATAATACAGTAAAAGTAAGCTTTCTAGTTGGTTACAAAAATATTACACCAATACATTTATGTATTGACTAAAATCGTTTTACATCTGTGTTTATTCAGATTATTCTGTATATATAAACACAGGATTTTGAGTTGTTCTGGGTTTCAGGCAATCTTGCGTAATTAGATCCTTTAAGCTTGGTATGCCGGGAAATTATTAAGTAAGTCGTCAGTTATTCATACTATCTGAAATGAAATGTTTAGTTATACAATAAATACAGTAAATTTAAATTTGGTTGTTTCTTATTTGTGCGACCACTATTTTTGTTTTTAGGATGATTTACGCTACGGTAAACGGATTTATATTTACAGAGACTACACAACTACTCCTAGGTATGTCATATTATTATTACTTATTCCAAGAATTTTCTCCATGTAAGTAAATACTTATTCGTAATATACAATTAGCCGTATTAATAATTGTCATTCAAAGTCTCATTCGGAAACAAGTAATTTTTGTTTTGTCCATTATTAACTTTTAAACCTGGGGCAAGCCATTTCTGGTGTTTGATGTATGTTACTACTTACTCCTGTCACTTTTCGTGGAGGAGCATAGGCCGCCCACAAACATTCACCATCGAACTCTGTATTGGTCAATGCTTTCCGGTTGTTTCCACTTTCTGTTCATTCTTTTGATGTTTGCTTCCGATTCTCGGCGTAGTGTGTTCTTTGGCCTTCTTGTTTTCCGTTTTCCTTCAGGATTTCAAGTTAGCGCTTGCCTCGTGATGCAGTTTGATGATTTTTGCAGTGTATATCTTATCTACTTCCAACCTCTTTTCCTAAATTCTTCTCCAGTTAGAAGATGATTAAGTCTCTCTCACAGTAGGCAGTTACTGATTGTATCCAGTCAACGGACATTGAGTATCTTGTGTAGGCAATTGTTTATAATTACTTGTGCATGTTTGATGATGGTTGTAGTAGTTCTCGAAGTTTCAGCTCTGTACAATAGAATTTTCTTGACATTCGTATTAAAGATTCTGACTTTGATGTTGGTTGACAGTCATTTTGAGTTCCATATGTTCTGAGACTGTATGAATGCTGCCTTTGCTTTGCCAGTTCTCTCCTTCTCACCATCACTTTTAACTTTGTAATGCTTAGGAAACGTATATTTAGAAAATATATAACTATATACTGGAATATTGACAATCGTCAAAATCGACCATAAAGTTTTCAATTTGTGAATGCACTTAGTGATTTAATTCCTATTTAGGAAGTAATACATAATTTAAAAAATATACAGTGGCGTTTTAAAATTAGATATGTGTGCTTTGGTGTCCTAGAGATTATTCAATATCCCTTGTATTCATTTATATTATTTTAGTTACTATCGAAGAACGTATTCACCAAGTTATAATTATGTGTCTCCTCTACGTCGGTTTCGATCATATAGTAGTCTGTCAGACCATGGGTAAGTCATTCAACCTTTGTGCTAATGAAAATAGGGTTACTAGCTGTTGTTCTACAAATAATAACCTTGCCTGACAACTTCTTGACTGCTCGAATCTAGTTAAAGACTAGTTGACTTATAAATTTACAGTAAATGTTGCTCGTGCACTTATTTTTCCAGATTTATCGAGTGCTTAACAATTTCTGGTCTTCTTTACAAACATTTTAGTGTCTGAATTTATAAAACGTTAATTAAAGAACTGCATATTTTAGCTTAAATGAAATATATGTACAAAGTGTAACACATCACCTTCTTTAGGAACGATTCAATTTCTTTTTTAAAGGAAAAAAACATTGTTTTGTTAGTACAGCACTACTGTTGGTAACGCAGTCTTACCAAGTGCCCAATTTATATTCATTTTGTTTACAATATTCACTAGATTATGCTTAACAAATGTTTTAAACATTCTTACGTCGCTGATTGGATGTACAAATCTAGTTGGTAATGTAGATCTGGCATGGTATCTTATCTGAACTAACAGATTAACTTAACTACTTCGATATGTAAAACAAAACATTTGTTCACATAAATGAACAACTATCAAGAATTTTACTGAAAAAGTTAACGAATAAGTGATGGCTAAATTAGTAATTTTGTTAGAGGAAAAACTAGATCTTGTCCTTGAAAATATATGTGAGTAATAAGTTGGCTACTGTTGATCTATAAGTGCTTAGACAGTTATTTCTCTTCATATAAGTAATTCACCACGAGAAAATGTTTTAGAACTACCAAAATAACTGTTTAATAAAAATGTGAACGTAATCGTTTGTCGCTTGAACTTATGAGAAATAAAGGAATACAGTTGATAGTAATTTTCATTAACGTTATACTAACTGCAGCACAATTTGACTTAATTCTTTGTGTTACAGGAGTTCGAGTTTGTTCTTTCAGAACTCCTGGGTTTTTTCTAGTACAACTAAGTATTGATCAAATAACCATTAAAAAACGTGGAGCAACACTCAAATAATTCAGGATTTCTACTCAGAGTATACTCTCGAACCATTTTGGAATTAATAAAATAACTGTCGATGTATAAATTTTATTATTTGAGTTCTTGTGTAAATCTGTGATTTTCAAAGAGAACTGATTCGTAATAAGAAATAAGCGGCCATAACTAAATCTAGAAAAAGAAATCTATTAATACAACTTACCTGTTTGATATGTTGTGACAATTAGATGCCTAATTCGGCCTATATGATACAAACATTTCATATTATTTTAAGACTTAGTTCTTTTTGTTGACATTACAGATACTGTTAATCTTTTTATTTTTCTCTTCAATTTAACCACAGGATGAACTCGCTTTATGGCTATTCATATTCACGTCCAGCTTCTCAGCTTCAAAGAGTAGATATATATGAGTGAGTAAATACTGATTCTTATCTATTATTGAGAGTTAAACCATTAAATATCTTGTTCATTTGGTTTATTATCTAATGATTTTTCATGATACATAACCAAATCATAAGAAATTTATTAGTTTTTCTACATTAAACCAAACTAAGAATCCTTTTCTAATATGACGAACACTTGTACAAAATAGCTCAGCTTATGACTAAAGCAAGTACTTGATTGATATGTGATTTAAAAATGGTTTGCATTTATTTGGAAATTCTTTAGGTGGCTTATATACAGACTTAAATATAGTGTTTTATTATATCAGATTGGCATAAGGAATATTCTTTGAAATATCACGTGCATGAAAGTGAATGTTATTCAGACCGTAACTAATCGCTAATTTCGTTCACTAAAGAGTTAGGTAGAATAGTTTCGGTCATCCACTTTTTAAAATTAGAAGACCCACTTATACCGTACCTAACTGTTCAAATAAACTGTAGGATTTATGTATACTTTATGTGTACATTTAGTTACATTCATGAAGAATTTACGCATGATAGCTAAACTACTGAAAAGAAAGGCTTACAAAACATACATCAAATAAATATATATACAAGAAATTAAAGTTGTTAATAAGCTACAGATATATTTCGAAAATATAACATCTAATGTTTATTCAAATTTTCGGGTGATTGATTACCAACCATTTCTTTTCCTTCCAGCGATACTCGGTATAGCAGATATTATTATTAGAGAACGTTTATCTTTCGGCAGGATTACACCTTTTCTTTTGAGTGTTTATTAATTTTGGTAAGTTTTGATACGAATGTTTTAAATTAACAGACTTCAGAGTATTTCCTGATAAATATATATTGATATTGTCACCTGTTAGTTGGCAGTCTTTACAGTAATTTTACTAAAAAATAATTTGTAGTTCCTACAGACAACAAAAGCTCATTGTTTGTAGTTAACTTTCTATACGCCTCAACATCTGAATAAGTTCCAGAAGAATTTACACCTTATTTATTTAAGACTTGGATGGTGAAATACTTTTTTCTCTGTTCGAACACTGTGCTCTTCCCTCTGTTTGGTTGTCTTTTCAAATTCATGTGAAATAAATTGTCCTATGAACCTCCATATTTTATCTCTTGATCTCACACTGTTTAATGAAAAGTGGTTCATCAGTGTTCGAATGTTTACGCAATAGGAAGACGATTTTCCGTCGGAATCATATCTAATGGAAAGACTCTTAAGAGACTATATCTTTTTCTCATAATTTTTATGACATTTTCTTATTTTCTAGCAGCATTACTTCTTGAAGTCAAGTTTTATCCAAATAGGGGATAATACTAATGAATGCGAATCGAAATGTCGTTTACCAATGAGATGTTAATTAAGTGTACCATAATGTTTGAGTACAGGTTACTTTTATTCTATGTTAATCAACGTTAGTCCATAGTCTTATGCGTAGTTCATACGCCTCGGTAGTAGTTTGGTATACAATACCAGCCCTTAAAATTGAGCGAACTCCTTTAAAAGTGATGTGAGTTTTATAGACAGCTTTTTTCTAGTGCCTAGTTTTATGTGAAATTCATGACAAAATTTATAGTAGGTAGATTTCCGACTCAAAAAACTGAAGATATCAATAATTTTATGGAGCTGATAGTGTTACATTGAAGTCTGAAGAATTTCATCAAATATTGTATATTCTTTTCACTTCAAACTTTTTGACTAGAAACCCTTGTTCATAAGCTGATATTGGCTGGATGATCATATACAAAACCCAACCACTGACCAACTGTGAAATTCTGGTGTAACACGTGTAAGAACTGCACCCCTTTAGCTCCGAATGAGTTGAACTCAAAAAAGTAGTACCACCAACATATAACGGTGCAAGACACTTGACAGCAAAATGTACTTTTAAGTTCTGTTTTACATGGTGATTAAAATCCTGGAACTGATAGTTTTGGAGACACCAACTAATTGATGTCTTTTCTCAATTTTATTTTATTTGAGGTTTGAAATGTGCTTTTTGTCTATTGTTACTAACAGGTGGATGAAATCACGTGTTCTTTCTGATTTTTCTACAAAGTGAGTTATTTCGCTCTCATCGAAATATATATTAATGGATTAACGTACAGAATAAAATGAACGTGACATTTTTGTTGCCATGTGATTTATTTCATGTAACGTAGATTTGTTTTTGTGAAATATAAATTGTTATTTTCACATATTTTTATATTTCTCATTGTGTAAAAATATTAGGATGAAAGTGTTCGGCGAAAATAAAACGTCATCGTACTAGTACTCAATTCTTCATTGAAATTGATACTTGATAAAATTGCTCATATTATGTTATGTATGTAATTGCAAACAAGAACGTAGATAGAAGTTAGATTATATGACTGCTGTTGGTTATTTAATCCCATGTAACTGCACTCTCGTTTTAACGGAACATGAACTGATATCAATTAATCGCCATTGGATCATTTTGGATTTAACAATACTTATTTTTGGGTTTAATATTAAAGCATTCATCGAAGTGATAGTTACCTAAACTGGGTGTTTACAGCCAATTCTCGTAAAATGATCTATTTGGATTGTTCTTTCTACGGTAAATACATATTATCAAAAATATTTTTGGTGTTCGGTTCAAAATCGCCAATTCCATAAGACCATAGTGCACACTGATGAACGCTTATATAAACATTTTTCGTGAACTGTTTATTTTAGCGTGATTTAGGGAAACAGTTCCCAGCGATAGGTGCAGATGGTATCGAATTTAGACTTCTTATTTTAGGAGTTGCCAAAATGTGGTTATCATTTTTTTATTTTAATAAATAATAAGCATCTCATTGATGAGTTCCTGGTCAATTAAAATTTGCTCTTTTGATGAATGAAGGTATATATAGTTATTTTTGTGACAAAAGAAAACTATATTTAGTGTTCTTGCAGAATTTGAACGATAGTAATAAAATGAACTTGGGGAAAAAGCGTTTATTTACTCATCTACTGTGATATGAAGATTTACAATGCTGCTTTTGATACCTTACAGTAATGGATATCTACAAAAATAATGCTGAAGTCAGAGATGAGCCAGCTTCTCTATTAAATGAGCCACATAAAAGCAGATGGTAGGTCACGTGAGGAGTAAGTATTAAAATGCAAAGTGTTTTTAATTAAAGTGCTGATATGCATCATTTATTAATGAAACCAGTATTTGATTGCATAACCATTAGGATTAACAACGTCACTTTATCAATATAATGAATACAACTGAGTTCAGTTTTTTCACAAGTGTGTCGTTCACTGTGACAATCATCAGTGAGTCTAGATTCGCGTCTTTTATTTGACTCCTACTTCTCGACTCTTTGAACTACATGCATGAAAATTCTTGTTCACAAATACATATTAACTGTAAGAAATGATCATGTTACGCACGAATCTTTGGAATTTATGAAGCTTATCATCTAGAAATAACAAACTGAAGTTATTGGATGTTACATCACTTAAAGGTTTATTCGGAACATTATCAGATTTCGGGTATATCGATTCAATTCGAAAATCATGAACACTTATTTCTGTCAAAAGAAGATGAAGCGGTCAGTGAATGATATTGGGTTTTAAACGTTCTATAATCTTTGAAAACTTATGAACATTTATTTTTAGGCATTAAAATAAAGCAGTATTTGGTGTACGATTGTCTAAATAAACAAAATGCAATTCAACCAATAAGAATCAATTTATGAAACATAAGGTGAAACATTTTATGATGCCATGTTTCTTTGAAATAATTTTGTAATTTCTCGGTTGTGGCCCGTTAAATAAATATTTTTCATCATAAGGTTTTTTTAACTAATAACGAGCTTTAGTTTACACACATCTGGCAACTATTTCTAGATAACGATAATGATTGTTCCATTATTACTAGTTAGGGTCTGAATTATCTCATTATTAATAATAAGGAGTGAGATTTGACCAGTTTTTATTGGGATGTATGCTTTTGGAACGTATTCGTTTAATATGGCCATTTTGTCACAGCTTTCGAATGGATGGACTGCACGATTCATCCTGTCAGTTGGATATTCCTTTATCTCATTGTTGACGTTTACTCTGAGATTTGAAACAGGGTTAATAAGCTAGGGCTGTTTGGACTCTTGAAGAAATCATTGATGAAATCATTTACTTAAACTGTACATTTGTATTTACAGTTTTGTGGAAAATATATATCTATAGAAGGATTGAAAATTGATTCTAGACTTTGATTATCACATGAGGTTATGCAATAATCAAGGGGTAATAAAAGAATATGAGGATGAAAATAATTTACGGGTCAGATTATTGTTCGGTTGATAGATGTGAAGAAAAACGACAAACATAATGGGCATAAAAATAAAAACTGAATCATAATCAATAAAACTTGTTTAAATGTAATAATAGTGACTGATTACAGTTTAAAATTACAAAACACTAATTTAAAAAATCAATAATAATAATAAAACGAAACAACCGAAACATATCACTGAAGGGCATTAGGGCCAAAGAAGGATGAGAGGTTGGACCTTGTCCTCACACACCACTGCGAGGATGTCATCGACATTCAGCACCTTCTCCCCACTATTGAATAGTGATCACGTTGTACTATACTTTAAGTTTAGGACAAATGGTATACAATTTGTATTTACTCCACCCCGTCTGAATATCTGGTGGGCTAGTATTCCGACAATCAGAGACTGTACTATTTCGACTAACTGGTCGGTCGACGCGGATGGATCGATCGGAGACAAATGGAATAAGTTTAAGGCTACATTTGAATCCATTGGTCAACACGTAAGCTATCACATTGCCCTCCATGGAATAATAATGGAACCCGGAAGCTGTTGAAGAATAGGGAACACTTCTGGGACTTATTCTTGTCGACAGGACACGCATCATTTAAGTATGAATATAAAAAATCGGAATATATGTAAAAAGACTATAGCTAAATCCCGTACAACTTACGAAAGACAGTCAGCACATGATAGCCGTACTTGTTCGAAACGATTGTTCCCGTATGTTAAACGGAGAATGAAACTTAGTGATGGTATTCTCCCGTTATTGTTTCACGAAAGTTCAGATTTACTAGCTGAATCAAATGGGGCAAAAGCCGAGACTTTTTCAAACTTTTTTAACGAAGTTCACTCTACGTCCATTGTTACAAATACTTGTTCCAATCACACCGCGATATCAGCCATAGGATCTGTACATGTGGCTGAGTAAACTGTTCTTCCATTGATTACTAAACTTAAACCTTGTAAGTTACTGGGTCCTGACTGGTTACATCCACGGCTGCTGTCATCTCTTGCGGACATTATTTCAAGACAGCTCGCGACGCTCTTCAACATGTCCCTTTCACTCACCCAACTCCCTAGAGATTGAAAAGACGCTATAGTAAGTCATATATTTAAGGATGGTCAGATACAGATCTTGTCTAACTACCGGTCTGTCAGTTTAAACAGCATAGTCGTTAAGTTACTTAAAAAGATAATTCGGGTTAGGCTACTAAGTCACATAGATTCACACAATCCGTTAACTCCCGAGCAACATCGGTTTACTTGTTGCGAGAGGGAATCGAACAGTAGCCTTAGATAACGGTCTGTCTGTCGATGTGATATTTATAGATTTTAGCAAAGCATTTGACAAGGTTTCACACTTAGGTCTTATGCAGAAGCTCTCAAGCTTCGAAATAATAGGTGCTGTACAACAATGGATAGGAAAATTCTTATGTGACCGCAGACAGAGAATGAGGGTCAATGGAACTCTATCCGGATGGAAGCCGGTCAAAAGTGGTGTACTCCAAGGCACTATCTTATGCCATCTACTTTCCTTTTTCTACGTTAATGGATTACCGCTACTGCTTAAGTCGTCAACATTATTGTTTGCGGATGTTGTAAAGATCTGGAGAACAATAAAAAGTGAGACTGGTCATTTTGATTTTCAAGCTGACTTAGATGAATTAGTTACATGGGCTCGAGGTTTGTGTTTAGAAGTTAATTCTAGGAAGAGTGTGCTCATACACATCAGAAACGGTAATAATTACCGCTATACTATTGATAATACATCTCTTCCACGCGTTCAAGAACATAAAAACTTAGGAGTAATAATGAGTCAACTACGCATAGCAACGCAGCTGCTGTCAAAGGTTTTCGTGAGTTATGGTCACTTTGCCGAGCGTTCAAATCTTTTGACGAGGAAATTTTTCAAATTTTATATTCCAACTACGTAAGACCACACTTACAGCACTGTATCCAAGGAGCTAGCTCATGTCTGATAAAGGCTACTAACTTCCTTGAGCGTGTTTAGCGTGTGGGAACAAAATTAGTGAAGAGTCTTTCCAAACTACCTTAGGATGAGCGCTTAAAACGCCTAAACCATTTCCCCTTGTTGTATCGTGGGGCGCCAGGTGACCTTATATTGGCATTTCGTATCTTTAATTATGATTCGGGTATTAATGTGTCTTATCTTTTTGCTCCCTCCAGCACTAATAATCCCCGGGGTCATAGCAAGAAGGTTCATAAACCGCGATCTAATAAACCTAAAGTAGGGTCCTGTTTTTCTCATTGAGTAGTCAATGACTAGAACGCCTTACCCGAAAAAGTGGTACCAGCCTCATCAGTGACTATTTCCAAGGAGAAGTTGAACCTTCACTAGAAGTCAATCTGTCAGGATTAACACAGGTTCACCGAACTACTATCCTCATTACTGAAGATTGGACGCATCGTTATTGCACGCAAAGTTTGGACTTGAGTTGGTGGATTGCCGATGTCTCAGCAGTGTATAATATTTTGATTCGACTTCCCATCAATTCAATTCCTTTGACTGTGTAGATTATTTTAAAAGAAGACTCCTTTGGAGTGGTGTCCATAGTTGATTAAATGCTTCTGTATTGAACTAGTAATTGTTTTACATTCTCCTTTTAAGAGCCATACCGGGTAGTGTGCAGTGATGCGTTTGGAAAGTGATCGCTTTGTGCGGCCGATGTAACCTGCGCCACATGAGCAAGTAAATTTATAGGTGAACATCGATGTAGCCCAAAGCGGAAGTTTATCCTTAACATATTCGTGAATGGAAGGCCGGCTTGAGAACACAATTCAGAGCTTAGCTGAGTAAAACGTTTTCTTCAACGATTTTGAAATCCGTTTATTCAAAACTTTAGCAGCCGTATCTCCTTTAAATTCAATATTTATAAAA